TTATCATACCTGTCAGAGGGAGGCCATTTAAAGTTTGTCATTCAATCCAATTTTATTTATATAGCGCCAGATAAGACTAGACAAGATAAAAACCCTACAGTAATACAGAGAAAATCCCAATAATTGAACAACCCACTGTGAGCACACACTTGGTGACAGTGGGAAGGAAAAACTCCCTTTTAACAGGAAGAAACCTCCAGTAGAGCCAGGCTCATGGAGGGGCGGCTATCAGCCGTGACCAGGTGATCACATGAAGTCACATGTTTGCGTGTTGGTTGGTATACTGCAGTTTCAGAAATTCACATATCACGTTTTATATTTTATAAATTGCTATTTATCACAATATATTTGAAAATTTGCGATAAAGATATAACTGACGATATAATTGGCGCGAGACAAAATACCTCACAATTCCACAACTTTATTAGTGCAAAAAAAGCCCCATCAATGTATTTTCACTTAAACAAGCAGCTGTTTTTTATGTGCATTAAAGTTATATAAAAATGTAACTGTGCAAATGCAAATTCCTTGCTGACAGTTGAACCAAAAGGCATTTCCAGTGGAAATTGGCCGACATATCCTCAGCATAACCATGTATAATATCTACAAAACTTAAAAGAGGTTATACACACACAATACGGTAATATTATGTTGAAGCACAGTACGTATCACTCCGCCAGGCTCCTGCCTGCGGTAAACGTAATGCTCCGACAGTCCATCAAGCGGTGCGGGTTCGTAGCTTAGCAAAGTCGTACTAAAACATTTTTTTGACAGATTTTCGAGCGCCGTGTATTACATAAAATCGGTTCGAGGTCAGTAAACACAACCAGAATTCATACATAAGGCACACGGGATTATAAGGAGCACACAAAGGATTGATTTTAAGTGCGTCTTATTTTCCGAAAAACACGGTAATAACGACGGCCCGCTAGCATGCTCTACCAAAAATTGTCCTTTGGTGTGTATCTGACTTGCATGCTTTAATGCCTGATCATGTATTGAAGGAGCCATATGTTACAGCTAGTTGCCTTCAAAACGATGTTGCTTAAACTTAAATTTTAATAACCAGTTGAGTCAAAGACAGTTTCCTGATGGGGTTAGTCATAATCCTGCGTGGAGAATTTTAAAAGTGCCGTTTCAGAGTTGATCACATGAGCCTCGAGCATCCATCCATTCTGTTCAGACTTGTTCCACTTTAAGCTCCATGCTGAAAAGAGACTTTTTGTTTGGAGTAAGAGGGGAAATCAAGCCTCCGGCTCTTTTTTATAAGGTATCGTTGCCAAAATAGCTGCTGCTGCTGTTGGAGTCTTGATGTGTGGGGACTTCAGGGAGTTTGCTTTCTTTTGATAAATTTTTTATAATCACAACATTGTATTACCCAGTGCTATTTTAAGCTGGCTTATGATTAAAAATAAAAAAAAAACAAAAGCTTGAGGGTGATCATTAAGGAGTTGCTACTCCCCCCGTGACTATTTGTTCTGGTTTTGCTATTTGCTCAGAGATGAGGGTCAGCGAGTCGAAGTCCAGGCTGTTTATCACAGAGTGATGAAATGTGTTTAACATTTGAGGAGCAGTGAACTCTAACCTCACAGTCTGACTGCACTGAGCTTTGAGTTAAATACTGATAACTGTCCCACTTTGCCTGCAGCCCTTTTTTCTTGTGGAGAGATGGTTCCTTTCCTAAAACATCAGAAAGTGATGTAAGCAGTTTTTTTTTGTTTTTTCTTCCTAACCTTTCTCTACTCGTTCTGCTTCCTGTGCAGGCCTTCACACACACAGCACAGTATGATGAGGCTATATCCGACTACTTCCGCGGGCAGTACAGCCGCGGCGTGTCCCAGCTGCCTCTGCGATACGGCATGAACCCCCACCAAGCACCCGCTCAAATCTACACTCTGCGCGCGGCTCTGCCGCTCACAGGTACCCTCACACCACGCCATGCCACGCCGCAATCTGTCCTTTAATGTCACCCATCCTCTTTTAACGTTCCCTCTCTTAGTGGTCAACGGTGCTCCTGGCTTTATCAACCTGTGCGACGCTCTGAACGCGTGGCAGCTCGTTAGGGAGCTGAAGAGAGCCCTCGGCATGGCTGCAGCGACTTCCTTCAAACACGTCAGCCCTGCTGGTAAGAAAGAAAGACCCCATTCAGACGCACTCTTACAGTTAACAGTGTCCACAAAGATCTGACAATGAAAGCTGTCACCTTGTTTCTGAAGGAGCCGCAGTAGGAGTTCCTCTGACCGAGGAAGAGGCCAAAGTGTGCATGGTGCACGACATGCTGAAGGACCTCAGCCCACTCGCCACCGCCTACGCAAGGGCAAGAGGTTAAAAAGTCACCTGTATAGCTGATGCCCTGAAAATGATTGTGTGCTGGGTGCTCTCTCTTTTTGTTCTTTTTTTTTTTTTAATATGTTATACATTTACTCTGTGCCTCCAGGTTCAGACAGGATGTCTTCATTTGGAGATTTTATTGCTCTGTCAGATGTGTGTGACGTTCCCACTGCTAAGATCATATCAAGAGAGGTAAATAAGAGAGCAAGCTTTTAAAAATGTTTTAATCATTACTATTATTATTATCTTTATAATTTTATTTTTTGTGATGTAAAATTCTTAGGTCTCAGACGGTATCATTGCTCCTGGTTATGATGAGGAGGCACTCAAAATCCTTTCCAAAAAGAAGAATGGCAACTACTGTGTGCTTCAGGTGAGGGCGCTGTTTCCCCACGTCTGTATTTGTCTCTGTTTTTGGAAGCATGTCTTTGGACGTACTGATTGGCTTAAAAACCTCATAATTCTCAGACACATGCAGATTGAATAACCTGCTCTTTTTTTTTTCTTTTTTTTTTTGTCTAGGCAGATAATGTAACTGGAGTAGTTTCAAGTCATACTGAAGATAAAAATGTGTACAGTACATACATACTATGTAAACTGGGTTATGGGTTATGTCCGTGCTTGTGTCTCAGATGGATCCTGACTACGAGCCCGATGACACCGAGGTGAGAGTGTTGTTTGGTCTCTATCTCAAACAAAAGAGGAATGGAGGACGTATCAATAAGGACTTCTTCAGCAACGTTGTTTCCAAAGGCTCGGTAAGACACTGAAGTGTGTTAACGTTTTACTGACTCGATCCAATCTGACAGATTCTTCTCTTGTGTCCTAAAGCTCTCTGAGGAAGCTGTACGTGACCTCACCGTGGCAACCATCGCCGTCAAGTACACGCAGTCTAACTCTGTGTGCTATGCTAAAGACGGACAGGTAAGAGGTGGCACATAAATGAGGAAGGAATCCAGAGGAGCCTCAGTTGTTCCCCAATCTTTCTTCACCTGTGTTTTCCAGGTTATCGGTATTGGTGCAGGGCAGCAGTCTCGTATCCACTGCACTCGGCTGGCGGGTGACAAAGCTGACAACTGGTGGCTCAGGCACCACCCTCGAGTCCTGAGCATGAAGTTTCGCAGTGGTGTGAAGAGAGCAGAGATGGCCAACGCAACCGACCAGTATGTGAGCGACACCATTGGAGAGGTGAGGGAGTAACATTTGGAGACGTGCACTGTAGTTACCAGTGAGGAAAAAGTACAACTGTGTTTTTATTTTGTTTGGATGTAAACATTTCAAGACTGCATTTGTGTTTATGTGAATATTTAAAATGCGTACATGCAACCCTTTGTGTCTTAAATGCAAAGAGGAACTCAGCTTCTGACATGGACACAAATAAATATGCAGTTTTAAGAGTGTTTTGTACAATAGATGAAGAATTACTGTATTTTGCGAGATGTAAACACATCCAATGTTCCTGTGCATATTGAGGACTGAGGCACAAAGCAGCAGATTATTTTATTACGTTAATAGATTCTGACTTTTTGTATACAAAAGATTTAAGATGTTCCCACCTCTGATGTTCAATGTCATGTCTAATCCAACAGCATGCCAAGTTTGAGACTGTGTGAGTAAATGAAAACCTGTGTCCTGTGTATATTCTGTCCTGTGCCGGCAGGGCCCAGACTTGGAAGTTTGGAAGTCGATGTATGAAGAGGTCCCTGAGCTACTGTCAGAGACTGAAAAGAAGAACTGGATCAGCTCACTGCAGGCTGTGGCTGTCAGCTCTGACGCCTTCTTCCCTTTCAGAGATAACATAGATCGGGCCAAAAGGGTAAGTGCCTTGCACGAAGAACGTGTACATGCTGCACACACCTTGTCAATCTCACTGCAACTTAAACCCTGGTCTTCCTGTCATAACTCGCATTTCCTTCCTGTGTGTGTCTGTCTCCAGAGCGGCGTTCAATACATCGCAGCTCCAGCGGGCTCTGCTGCTGATGAGGTTGTGATCAATGCCTGTAATGAGCAAGGCATTACTCTGGTGCACACCAGCCTGCGACTCTTCCACCACTGAGTTCACTAAGCGTTGAGTTCGCTCTCAGTTTTGTGTCTTTACAAAGACGAAATAAACGTGTGCAACATTGCTGATCTTCAGACATTCCTACATTTAGCTGAACTGTAAAAGCAGACGCACAATTTTGTAACACACTAAATACATTCCTGACTTGTGATCAAAATGTTCAAGAGTGTAATACTGTAACTGCAGCTGATCCTTGTAGGTCAGTCTTGCAACACTATGAAATAAACTTGGAGTTTGACTATTTTGTCTCTTTCATTGTGCTAACTGCGTGGCACTGTTAGTCCATTGCATTAATCCAGACTCAAGGTCACAGTGCTTCATTGGGATTGCAGTGAGTCGTTCAGCAAAATTGAACTAGCGTGAAAAAAATGTGGTTACAGTTAAATCACAATTCAGCAAAGGGAGCAATACATTTTTCACATGGGGCCAACCAGATTTGGATAAATGCAAAATATGAATAATCAAAAACCTGAAAATGTAAGTGTGACAAATATGCAGAAAACTAAGAAATCAGGAAGAGGGCAAATATTTTTTCCTGCCATTGTAAGCTTATTGTTGGCACCTTAACCCACCCCCCCAACCCTAATAAGAAAACACAACACTGTGGTAATGTTTAAGAATCTCTCCAGCTTTTATTAAAATAAGGGACTTCTATTTGTCATCGGTAGAAACACTTTGGCACAAAGTACAAAAATAGAACGGTTCACATCCTTGTTCAACACATTCACACGATGAGATCAAAGGGATAAATTACCAGAACTTCAGAATGTGTCAATCACACACATGGAAGAGGGGCTACAGAAAAGAGAAGCACATTTTTGAGGACAGTTTCAGCAACACTGGTAACAACTACATTTTTTAGCACAGTGCGTACTTTATGGGTTTTGGTCAGGATATAATTGGAAAAGAAAAAAAAATTAAATGGGAAATAAATGCCAACTTGACAGATGTGTAAATCTGACTGGACAAGTTCTAAATAACTTTAGAAAGTTGGGGGTTTCTGTTTCTAATACATCACAAGCCTGGAAGTCGACAGTGAATAGACTCAAGTGAAGATTAATGATGAGGGCAGCAGGGCAATGTGTCAGCAATGTGATAAGGCGCTTAGTTTGTTTCATCGCAGCCAGCGTGGCTTCTACAAGGTGAGACAGTGCAGCAACTTGACGGTAAGGGAGCAAAGCAGATGTCAGATGACCAGCTCATCATTCCCGAGGATTGTGAGGAACGTGTGCATCTGCCAGCAGTTCAGGCCGGAGGCACTCGATGGGGCAGTGAATGTTCTGGAGGATGAACAGTGGCACAGTTTTAAACTTTGACACGTGCAGACTGTTGCACAACAGATTACTCCAATTTGAAAACTGATATTTACCGTTTGCATTATGTCTCCTGATTTTCAATACATTTCACTTACTTTGCGCAGTGTGTTGTCTCCATATCTGATTGGCTGCAGCAGACCGACATCGACATCGCCACCGGGTCTCCTGCAGTTCTCGCATCGCCAGCCCTAATAAAGGCAAAAAAAAGCATTTAACCACGCCCTCTTCTGGATGATCCCGCATGATGGAACGAGAACACGAGGAAGGCTCACGTGTCTTACCTGTTGTCCTCCAAAGCACGTGCAGGTGCAAATAGAACCCAGGTACTCCTTCTGCCACTGGTTGCCCACCCGGTAAGTTTTGCCATCATCGTAACACGTGGACTCATCTGCGTGAATAGATATTTGGGTTAAAAATGACACGCAGCTCATTCACTTTGTAACAGCCACAGAACATTTCAATTAAAAAGTTGAAGAGGCCTTACGCGGTTCACACTTAAACTCTCCTTTGCCGTTTCCTAAACAAGTGCAGCTCATTAAGTTCCCGTTCTCTGAGCGACGGTCCCATTTCTCTCCAATTCTGTAGTTGTTGCCATTGTCGTGGCACCACTCTGAGAAGAACATACAGTAACCGAGTGAAACTTATTCAATTTCCATCCATGTACACGTATTGGGGAAAGATACCCTAAAAACCTACTTGATGAATCACATCTGAAGTGGCCGCTGCCCAGGCCCAGACACCTGCACGACAGCTTGAAGCCTGTCTCAGACATCCGCTCCCATTCAGCACCGACGTCGTGATGGGTGGCAGTAAAGGCATCATAGCACGTGTCTTTATTTGAGGAATCTCCCTCTGTAACTGAAGGAAGAAGAAAGTGGGGGAAAAATTAACCACGATGGGCTTCATTCAGTTTCCTTTAATAATCAGATACATCACAGCTGGAAGCTTACTTGTGTTTCCAGCAGTCACTGTCTGCTCCAGAATCTTGTGTTTGAGGGCCCCCAGGAGTGCCTCCACAATAACGTTATAGTCTGCTCCGGGAGTGAGTCCTAGCAGGGTAGCAGTAGTGGCTGTGCCTGGCAGGCGGACCTGGGTAGAGAGGAAGAAATCATAGCTTATTCTCATAAATGGGAATAATGAGAATAATTGAATAATGGACTGGCCCCTTACCTGGAACATCTTCTCATTTAGCTGTGTGATGGGATGACAGGACACCAGGTAGGCATTGCTCTGCCTATAAGGCTTCCAGGAGACGGTGGTCTGAGTTTGGGCCTCCAGCGGCACACTTGTCTCGTTAAAGAGTATGGGTCCAATGGGCATGTTTAGCTTCACAATGGGCTTTCTGCGGCCTTCTGCATCAGGAAGGGGCACAAACACCAGGGGCTCACGAACTTGGCCATAGGGAGAAAGTGGATTCCGATTATATCCGTTGTCTCCATTGTTGTTGTACTCTGTGTACTCCACATGCTGGCTCTGATCACCAAACCCATCCTGGCTATTGGTGCCCACTAACTGGACGTTGTTGTCCAGAGATTCAGGCACATCCAGCCTGCCATTTCCAGGGCGGTTAGGCTGGGGCAGAGGCAAAGGAAGCAAGGGGTCTTGAGCTGGCGGGAGAGACGAGGTTACGGAAGCAAGCAGGTTAGACGAGGGGGAGTTAAAGCAGAGCAGCTCTAACACATCTCAGCCAAAAGGGATGACGGATACGCAGCAATGCAACTCACTGCAAAGTGTGTCATAATGCACTATTACAAACACACAAGATATTTTGAATGACATTTGCGAGGACATTCAAAATAACAAAGTGGGTATTATCGTTTTAGATTTTGGAAACACACTTGAGCTAAAGCTTCATACAGCTCCAGCTGAGCAGATGAAAGCTGCCGTTCCACCCCTTAATCTTACCAGTAACTGACTCGAACTCTGAATGGATCCTTTTTACTTCACATTTGTCACCATACAGAGAAAAAAGTATCAGTATAAGTACTCACGAGTCCTGCTCCTGCCCACCAGAGGTGTGCTTCTCTGCGTGTTTTGGATGGCGATGATCTTGATGATGTACTCCGTGTCTGGTCTTAGATCTGAGCAAAGAAAAGGAAAACTGTTGTTTTTCCACACGTAATTGGTGTGTCAGGATAATCCTGCGTGAAGCTTTAAATGTCAAATAAAAGTACGTACCATCGATGGTGGCGTAGTTTTGGCCAGCGTGGGGTCTTGGGAAAAGCTCCTGTGGTCTTCCTCCCGACTCTTCATAGGTGACATAGTATCCTGTGATTTGCGTGGCAGGTGGCTGCCAGGTGAAGGAGATGGAGTAGGGGGTGACGGACGTAAACTGCAGGTTGGTGGGCGCCTGGACCAGCGGGTCAACTGTAAGGACAAATACGGCTGTTAAACTGCCCGAATGCTATTTTTTTTCTCTGTGTGTGCAAACTAGGATGTGACTTGTGTGAGGCTGAAGCTGCATTTGTTGTCACTTAACCCATTATCAAGATGTAAGATCATACAAGCAGCCTGGATTTATTTTGTAATTTTGGCTGTAAAATTACAAATGATTTCTCACTTTAACGCTGTAATGCCAGAAGTATCATATCTGATACATGCATTTCTGTGACCTCTACATCACGAGTGTGATTTTTTTAATCTTTGAAAAACTGATGTACGCAATCAGATTAAAAATGCAAAACTGCCAGAGATTTAGGTGACCTCAAGATGCTAGCCCCAAACAGGTCAGGAAACCTCGCATGCTTCTGCCTCTTCTAGTTGCAGTTGTCTCTTGAATTACATAACTTAAGGAAACCTGGCAGCAAACTGTGATGTGCAGATCAGTGTACTGCAACATTATGTAATGACAGAAATCAAAAACCAGAATATTACACTGAAATTAACATTTGTTTAAAAAAAAAAAAGAAGCAGTTTTTAAACCTGGATTTTTGCATTACCTGTTTGAATTCTGGAAGTGAATGGGTCGCTCCTTGTGTTCCCACTCAGAGTGTACATGTTAACATTGTAAATAGTGTTGGGCCGCAAACCTACAACACAAAAACACACTTTAAAGCAAGACTGAAGCTCCAAAATCACTCTTTAAGACCTTAAATGCGTTAAAGTGTGGCGTACCGGTGAGGGTGTAGGTGTAAGCGTCACTTGGGATGGTCTTGGTGATGGTGGGATACGATCCACTCTGGGGAATGGCTTCAATAAGGAAACCAGTGAAAGGTTCCAGCTTGGAACGCCAGGTCAGTGTGAAAGAACTATCCGTTACTTTGATGACACGCACGCGGCGAGGAGCACTCAAAGCTGCGTTGAGGTGAAACAGAAGCAATTTTAAAAGGATCAGTTACACCACGAGTGAGGTCTGCAGATGTGTCCATTTATGGCGCAGCACGTTACCTTGCAGCGTGGTGGCTTCTGCCTCTGCTGGTCTGCTTGTGACTGTGTTCTTCAGAGCGTAAACCTGCACCTGGTATGTGGTTGCCACCTACACAGTACACAGTTCATATTTACTCACTGACCCATTGTGGATCCATGTAAAGATTCACACATGAACTCTGCTTACCATGAGCCCTGGCACCACAACACGAGTGGTGTCCGGAGCAACGTTCATTTCTCTGTGAGGGCTGTTGATGTTCTTGGGGCTCACGACTACACGGTAGCCGGTCAGGCGCGCGTCTGGAGCTCGCCATGACACAGTGAAGGAGGAAGGACTGACCTCTGAGATCGCCAGGTTGGTGGGAGCAGGGATTACTGAAGCACAAAGACACAGTGTCAAGGCCAAAGTTTTAAGACGGGGATATCAAATGGAGACAAATGCTTTGGTGTATTTCTGCTTAGCGCTACCTGTGGCCTGAGTTCCCACCAACGGTGAGCTGGGTGCTCGGTCATGGAGGGCGATGACCTTAACAGTATACTCTGTTCCAGGGCGAAGGTTTCCAAGCACCACACTGTCCTGGTCCCCTCTGGGTGCTGGGCGCAGCTCTCTCTCACCTTCCTCTGCACTGGTGTACAAGACGCGGTATGACGTTACTGCGCCGTCTGGGCTGTCCCAGGAGATGCGCATGGAGGTGGAGTCGATGTCAGAGAAGGTGAGCTCCTTCGGACGGTCCATAGCTGCAGAAAAAGAGGAACAGGAAGATTCCTCAGTGCTAAATAGATTTTTCCTGTTGGCTTTGGAGGAAATTTACCTGAATTTCCTGTAGCAAAACTGCCGAGTATAGCTCTAACATAGTGCAAGGGAATCAGGACAAATAAAGTTAGAGCTGAAAGAGAAGTGAATTAAGTGAGACTAACCAGTGACTGCATTTTCTATTAGCGGGGAAGATGGCTGTCCATTATTTCCCAGGGCATACACACTCACAAGATACTCAGCAGTGGGCATCAGACCCGTGAAAGTCACCTCGGTCTGATCTGTAACAGGAGAGCAGAAAAGGAGCCAATAAGATGATGAGTGTTGTGTGTGAAAAATCAAATCATCATGGCAATCTGATTGTGAGCATCTGGCATTCCTTGCAGGCCTTACCAGGAGCCAAATCCTCAGAGTACGAGGGTCCCACGCCATTTTTGGGAATACTTGTGACTCTGTAGCCTCTGATTGGTCCCCGAGCAGGAGACCAACGTACTGTGATGGCATTGTCACTTATATCAGCCACCCGCATGTCAGGGGGGGCCTCGATATCTAAAGGAACAATGGATAAAGCTTTAGATTTACCATAAACACTCAACATTAAGTTGCTTTTCCAAAAATTTTCCCGTATTTCTGTACCAGTCCTGTGTGTTATGTAGACGGGGACACTGGTGGCGGGGTTATCGCCTCGTCCGCTAATTGCATAGACTGTGATGGTGTATTCAGTGCCGGGATTCAGTCCGGTGATGGTGGCAGTGGTGTGAGTGCCTGGGACATTAATCTCCCGAGGAGTCTCGCCACCTGAGAGGGCAGTAAAGAAGGCCCAAGTGTTAAACTTGTGTGGCTGACGTTAGAGGAAACCAAGAATTCAAAAATAAAATGTACAGACTTGTTCCTGCATAGGTGATCCTGTAGTTTCTCACTGAGATAGAGGGAGCATCCCAGCGTATGGTGACGGCGGTTGGGGTGGATCTTGTTACCACTAGGTCAGTGGGCGAATCAGAGACTGAAAAACATTAAATAACAGAATAGAGAAAATCACAGAGGATAATTATGGAGAAAAAAAAAACATTAAAACAGATGAGGAATGATCACGCCCACTAACTAAAAGAATAGGTGGGACTCACTTGTTGCCTGTGTGCCAGTCAGAGGCTGACTCTCCTGGCTGCTGCTCACAGCATACACATATATCATGTACTCGGTTTCAGGTGACAGTCCAGTCAAAGTGTAGTGGGTTCTGGTCGGGGGGAGCCTCTCATCCTTGGCATGTCCACCACTGGTCTTCTGATAGCGGATTCGGTAGCCCGTGATTCTGGCCTGTGGAGCTTGCCAGTGAACTGTAAAGGAGTCGGTCCGAATGTCGGAGAAGTCCAAGCCAGTCGGGGAATCCAGCGCTGGAAGAAAAATGTAGTGAAAAACTGAGATACATTTTCAGTTATATACAAAGATAATGCCAAATACAGTCTTTCTGGTAGAAATAAGCAAACGTTAATGTAAAATATGTGAAATGGATCAACTGATATTAATAAAAATCAAACAAAAAGTCACCAAATGCAGGCAAGCTTTAAATAGATTAGGTAACTCTGGAATAAGAGACCAAATATTTATTGTTGATATTATTTATAGTAGCATTGTAGTTATTCTGTTGTAGTTTATTCTGCAGGATAATACGCACTCATACATCTTGTCAATCACACTGTATTCACACTCTCGTTTAACACCCTTTTTACCCTAATGAACATCACATCAAGAAACTAGTGACTGAGATAATAAACTAATACCAGTGAAGTGAGAATTGGGATCTTTATAGACTCGTATGCTTCTTTTAAGTTTCCCCCCACCCATCATTAGAAAAATGATGGACATTTCAGACTCGGGGGCTACAGCCATCTTTTATTTGCAACACCCTTGGTTCTTCTGTGAGGCCACCTGTGTAGATACTCACTGGTTTTTTGAGTCCCTGTGGCTGGTCTACTTTCTCGTTCACCATACACACACACCACACTGATACGATAGTCAGTGTTGGGCTGCAGGTCTGTGAAGATGATTGGTACAATTAGTATTGTTCGAGATGGAGCACAAGTCATTTTGCCTTTTCAAGCCTCTGAGTTCTTCTTACTTTGCAGCAAGTAGGTGTTGGTAGCTCCTCCAACATTGACCTCCTTGATGTCATTATCAGTGGATACAGGGTGATAACGGATAACGAACCGAGAGATGTCGTTTGGTGTGGCAATTCTGGGGACTGACCAAGTCACCCTAATGTGGTCAGGGCCCACTCCTCCAAACTGCAGGTTGGTGGGAGCTGGAATGGCTGTAAAAATGAGGAGTTATAAGCTATAGCTATCACTGGTAACGCAATGAATTTAAGAAAATAACGGAGGACTTCCAGTGGCACAAAGAAAATATCAGAGAAATGATTAAATTCAGATATTTACTGCAGTGTGGCACACTTAAAAAAGAATAAAGGTGCCTCAGATCAAGACCCAACCCCTCCCCAGTGATGGACTGAAAGAATAAATCACCAGCATGCGTTTGCTTTGTGTGTGTGGCCGGCTCGCTGTCCCCCTCTTCTGTAACAGTGAAGATACTGATGTCATAGTCCACACCGGGCTCCAAACCACGAATCGTGTAATAACCAGCAGATGCTTCCACCATATCTTGAAAAATTGGCAAGCTCTGGCCTGAAGCTACTACCACTATCCGGTAACCAATAATGGTAGTACTGTTCAGAGGGATCCAGCGTAGCCCAATGGTGGTGTCAGTAATGTCGACAAAGTCAATTTGACTTGGAGCGGGGATGTCTGAAAGGGTTAGGCATGTTGCAAAGCGCAAGCAAAATTAGACAGACAGAAAAGCCCCAATTATTTCATTGGTTATATCAAGAACATTCATTTAATTCCCGATAAAGCGTTCAGAGAACCTGGGTATAACAGTAACCATGCAAGACAATTACACATAACTGGATTGGAAAACATTCAGAATTAAAATTATAATTAAAGGTAAATATAAGGCAGTAATAATACTACTAATGGACGTGCAAAAAAATCCCAAAAATATTCACCCTACCAAGTGATAAACACGATTTCCATGCAAATGGTCAGTTAGCCAATAATCATGCTAGCAGTAGATTATAAAAAAAAGCTGCATTAGACATTTGAACCAAAACTGAGCTTAAAGAACACTGACATTTAGATTTAAATTGGTTGCCAAATAGTGAGCTCCAGCACACAGTCCCATGGCTACCAAATGTGCAAATGGGTAATCTTTTCGCTAACTTCAAAATGTAAGTGTATTTTTGTACATAATGACATTATTCTTCTATCTAGTGGGTAAAAATTAACTAATGCAGCTTTAGTTTCTTCTGAAACTAGGCCAAGCTCTGTGGGGATGGGAGTAGCAGGGTCCATTTTCATTGAATGGGAAAATTATGTCATTTGTTCCTCACGATGAACCAGACACACTAGTCTTTGTGGCTTTCTACCACGTGTAAATGACTTCCTCTGGCTCCTACCTGTTGTGACAATAGTGGACACTGGACTGCTTTCCACATTGTCCTTGGTAGCGAACACGCTGATGTTGTACTCCATACCCAGAGTCAAGTGCTCTAGAACAACTGAGGTCTGATCAACTGCAACAATCTCTTCAAGGGAGTATCCTCTCTGGCCATTGGTTGGTCTGCTTGTCACTCGGTAGCTTGTAATACCTGCAGAGAGACGGGAAATATAACAAATTAATGAATTAATATTAGAAATCAAAAGGAAATACCAGGAACAGCTTTTTGTTCTAGTGAAAAGAAAAAAAACTATTTGAAGACCAAGGTCTAGAGACCTTCTGTGATGTCAGTGCGTGGGGAGCAAAGTCAATATTTACCTGGTGTTTTGGAGGCTACCCAGTAGGCTGTGAGAACTCCTGTGTTCGGGTTGGACTCAAGTCTGAGGTCAGTGGGAGGAGATAGAGCTGCAACAAGAAACAGCAGACCATGACGCATTGAAAAAAAAACTTCAGCGCAGCAAAAAATATCTGGCACAAAATCACGCCAAATGGTTTTAACAGCACTCTGTCAGCTCAGAGCAGCATTAAATCAACCGGACGATCGGTCACACAACTGGTTTTACAGTTGGTTTTGTTCAGCAGTCACCACAGTGCCTGGCTTTTTATTTGTGAAATTAAAACAGATACGCACAAGTGACAACATTGCGGGTGATGGGATTTCCGCGGTTCTGTCCATTGTAGATGGGCTGAACGCTGTAGGTGTACTGAGTTCCTGGAGTCAGACCATCTACATAAACACGTCCGGAGGAAGAGGTTTCTTCTCTGGGAGACTCGCCTTCCTCGCTGGGCAGCACAGACAGCTGGGGAAATAAAACAGACATGAGAAAAACTGGAGAATACGCTTAAAAGAAAAAAAATTAGAAACAATTAGCAATGGCCTAAAATCTGCCCACACCAGAGAGTAAATATTAGACTCTTTGGATCTTTACGGTTCCGCTATGTTCACCAGCTAGTTTCTAAATGTGCTTGGGCACTGCTTGGAGATAAGTAGTTAGTGAACAGCTCCAGTGATTCCTTTAATGTAATGAGCTAACCTTGTAGCTGAACCTGCGGACGGGTATCCAGGTGACGATGATCGAGGTGTCGGTAACCTCAGTACTGAAAGTGGGAGCATTTCCCATCTGGGGAGCTGTAAGAAAGGGAAGAAAGGGAAGGGGGGGGGACAATATTTTAAAATGATTGGAGCAATTTATTCCCGTCTTCACTTGTGTTCGGTTTCTCCAAATACCGACCGGTGGTAAAGTATGTGGTGACGCCCTCGCTGAGCTCATTTTCGAGATCAGAGTAAAGGGTGGCAGTGTACTCCGTATCTGGACGTAGATTCCTCAGTAGGTACTGGGTGACCCTGCCTGGGATCCTCTTTTCAATGGGACTTGAGCCTTCAATGCTCAGGTAAAGGCGGAAACCACTGACAATGGCACGAGGAGCCTCCCAGACAATCAGTGCGCTGTCAGGGCCGATCTCAGTGAAGCGTACATCGGTGGGTGCATCAGGTTCTGGAAGAGGCAGAAAGCATAACACATGTAAGGCAAAAAAGATCTGTTGTGTTTTGGATAAAATCCCTGCGTTTATGTATTTGGGCTTTTTTCCAAAGTGGCACTTACTGGTAGCCTTTTCTCCTACAAGAGGCTCACTCTCCACTCCGCCGTTGATGGCATAGACGTAGAAGCGGTAAAGCGTGCCTGGCTGCAAGTGGGTGATCTCAGAGTATGCACTGGTGGAGACAGGCAGCCCCAGGGGCCTTACGTCAGTGCCATCAGACCCAACGGGGGAGAAAGTGACTCTGTAACCTGACACCTCATTGGGTGGACCGGTCCAGGTGATGGTGACCTTCGTATCCGAAACCTCGTAGAACTGCAGGTCTGTGGGGGCTTGGACCACCTCTGTGGAGAGGAGAGTGCTAGTTGACTAACAAGGGTCACAGTCAAACCTTAGAGTCTCCTCAGGAGTTTTTTTACTATGTCATTGGTTATGTTTGGAGACAGATGTGAACTTAATATTTATTTTACATTTATTAGGCCCCATAGGTAAAAACATAACCTTTTAAAAAATAATAAAACTCATACCTAAGTTATATATAATAAGTATACAGAGCTAAATATGCATTATTGGGTGCAAATATTACTGCTGCTTTTTAAAAATCTTTAATTTAATTGTACTTGGCTTAGATAAAATAGATGCTGTTAGCTTAGAGTCTAAAATGGAAATCCATTTAAAAATATTCTCAAAGATATTAGAATGATTTATGAATGATTTATGAATGCATCCTTGCTTTTCTAAGTGTTTTAAACTAAGTTTAAAAAGGTCACTGTTTTGCGGCCAAGTCTGATTTAAAAGAAGTCATCTGAGGTCCATAATATTTAAGGAGACAGGAAGAAAAATGTTACAATGGCATGGCTATAACCATAAAAGCACATTTTGACAAAGCCATGTTTTGACAAGCCCTCTTAACTGAGCAGTGAAAAGCCCTTTCTAAGGCCCTACAAGGAATCTCCAGCTGCAAGTATAAACTGAATCTGTTCAGCCTTCACAGACAGCCGAAAGGCTAAGAATCACCTAAAAAGAATCCTGAGCGATCTAAAGAACAGCATATTGTTCAAATCTTTCACAAAAAGAAAAATTAAGTTTTACAGTGCTAACTCGTGAATTGATTCTGTTAAAAAGGCATATTATGTCTACCTTGGGTAGGAGATCCAGCAGTGTTGACCTGTACAAAAACAGGCTCACTCTCCTGGTCCTCTTCCACAGCATAGATGCTGATGTTGTAAAGCAGACCGGGGCGAAGGTCAACCAGGGTCACGGACGTCTCTGACTCTGGGAGGGTCAGCTCTGTGCTGCTGCCTTCCACTGATGGTGTGTAAACCACACGGTAGCCTGCAGGCACAAGTATACAGTTATACACAAAGCCAGGATAAGAAAAAGGATTTATATCTCAAACAAATACAAAATAAATGGTTTGTTACCAGTAATAGGAGCCTGAGGTCTGGACCAGCTGATTTGGATGGAGGTTTCTCCCACTTCATTGACAACATGCCTAGTAGGTGCGTCAGGAGCTGCCAAAAGGATGAGAGGATCATTCTTTCAAACGCACTTGGTGACTATGAGTGTAACATCACGACAGTGGAGAAGAGAGCTTCTCCTACCTGTGGTCTGTGAGGTAGTGAGGATGAGGTTGGGCTGCCCCCGACTTGGGACCTCGAAGACGCTGACGTTGTATCTGCGTCCAGGCAGGAGATTACTGATGGTGACAGAGGTGGATGTGCGAGGAACATCTGGAACACAGTCAAAAGTCAGAACTCTGTATAATAAAAACTGAATTGATCTGCAGGAAATATGGAGGCATTACGGAGGTTTCAGGGATGGTCAAAGGCTCTCACCCAGAACTTTAGGCTGGGACCCCTCCTCACTGAGCTCATACTCCACCCTGAAGCCAGAGATGGTTGTATCAGCTGATGTCCAGGATACAACAAAGCTGTTTGAGGTGATTTCTGTCACAGACTCGGAGGTGTCCAACACAGGTGGAGGTGCAGTCGTCTCTCCCTCATATGTCTCCACTTTTGAAATTAAGGAGCATGGCGTTATTTTAAATATTTCTTTAGATGTGCTGCTTTGGTGTAGCCATGTAGCTGTACAGCATACTCACAGGAGCCAAGGTTAGTAGTGAAATCAAAACGCGTGACCTCACGGCGTCCATAGTTCTGAATGCTGATGAGCTGACCCTCATAGGTGATGCCTGGACGCAGCCCGCTAATGGTGTAGGAGTTGATGTTGCCCGGGATGGTGACCTCTCTCCAGGGAGAATGGGTGTTTTTCTGCAGATTAGCGATAACGAGAGGTTGACAAGTTTAAACCTTTTAATCTGTGAAGATAAAGAAGAGGTACTCAACAAGAACTTTTCAAAAGTGCTTAGGGAAAAAATAGAGATTTAAACATCTATATTTACTTTATAATGAGGTAAAATCCACCTGTGGGCAAAGACAGTTTTGACTAAATAAATCAAAAGGGTGGAGTCTTTAATTAGCTCTGGGAAATAAACCTGTGGTCTGTATATATTGGAGACTGGGCAGCCATTCAGTGTCAGCTCTTCCATTAGGAGTATGTCAACTGGCTTTGAACTGTTAGAAAAATATAAACTTTTCAAGCAGGTTTTAGACTTTGAGTGGCTTTGATGTCCAAGAAATACAGTCCAAACCCATAAAGCGGAAGCAAGTTTGACTTCAGTTGAAGTTCATTAACATCTCAACCTGCCTCAAGACGTCTTTGAGGTCTTCAAAGAGAAAAAACAACAACACTGGATGTTTATCTGGGAATCTGCTAAAAACCTGTGTCTGCGTATACAGACTGCAAAGGCAAGTAAGTTTACCCTCTAATCACTTTGTTTGTTCAACCTTCAGACTTCACCAGAGGCACTCACCCTCAAACACAAATGTATCCGCCTTTACTAAATGCTACTATTCAGCAAAATTAAAGCCCAATTTTGAGCAAAGAAATACGACTCGCTTTCATTTCTGGAGGCAATTTGTAACTGAGGGAAGCGAAAGTGAGACTCACAACTCTCCATTTCAGGATGTACTGGGTGATCTGAACAGATGAAGGGGCGTTCCACTGAATAGGGCGAGAGTCGGACTGTTTCCCAGCCTCTGTGATGATCACCTGGATTGGTCTGCGGCCATCTAAGGAGAAAAAAAAAAGATTTAGGAGAAGACATCAGGAGTAAAGGAAAGGGTGGAAGTGAGAAGATTTTTTTTCACATAACTTAACAGCATTGTGTGTAGGGAGTGTGGGTGAAAGTTGGCTACTTTTCGGTGAGTTCTGTCAGAGGGAGTCATTGCTCGGGGACAGAATCAAACCACCAGACGATGCTAAACCAGCTCAAACACCCACAGACATTTTCAAGTCAGATATAACGTCTGCATACTATATTCATCATGGTTTATCTCGTCTCTGTTCCCTAGAGAACACACACACACCCACAGACAGACAGACAGACAGACAGACAGACAGACA